AGTGAATTGTCCTGACAGAATATTGCGTTTCGATTCTGTTATTACCATGGTACATTGACAAAAACATATACTTTTATTCACAGGATAAAATAGTTTTTTTGTATCACTAATTGCCCAGTATGATTACAGCATACAATATTGTTGTCACTGCTACATTTCTGTAACGCATACCAGAAATTATTTCCACTACTAATTAATTACCGTTGAGCTCAAAGGTCCTATTAATAAACGGTTAACGAATGTGTATTTATGAAGACGATTTGTGAGACTGGTAAACTTACCTTTGTTCGTACGATGGTCTTTTGTTCTACTAGATACATTTCGAGGTCCTGTACCCATCCGTCAGTAAACTGTATCTGGGCTTGTTGCTGTGACCTGAAGTTACTAAAAACTTCATGAATGCATGCACTCACTCCAAGAACCATATAATTATAAATATGAGCGTGGTGAAAGTTGGGCAGCACACTAATGTCTTTTGTCCACTCTGTGTGCTCGTAAGGGTCTAACCCTTTCACTCCTTTGATTTTTTCCTCGCATCTTTTCTTTGACTTTTCATCAAGTCTGTCTTTGTACGGACCGGCATTGTTCTCCTTCGTTTTGTACATTCCTTTTTTGGGGGGCAAAGAAAAAGCAAGAAGGTAAAAGTCTTATCATGCCAGAAGTCAACCAGCAGTGTCAGCTTGATACCAGATCTGGGCCAGACCTCCTTGCTATGTGGGTAAGAACAAAGGACAATAGTACCCTAACTGCCTTCTACACACAACATACAATTTGGATAAATTCCACTGTGACAAGGAGAGGATTAATTTCCCACCTAGGAAGGTAGGTTGTTTATTTACAAGCAACACTCATGAACTTCATTCATTAATGTCACTATACACAATAGGTGAAGTGCAGACATTAGTATACCTCAGTAGTTACAACTTTTAAATACTCTGGCAAAAACAGTTATTTTATTTTTATTTTTGATTTACACCAAAACCTTCCCATATGGAAAAGAAATAGTAAAAACCTACATGATTTACTCATGAAAGTGGCCACTTTCATATATTGTTTGAGTAAGTATCCAAAACATACAAGTTTGATTACATAATTTTTCAAGGGATCTTATATCTGTTTTCTCTATTGTATGCTTTTCATACAAGTTTCACACAAGACAGATACAAACTTTATAAGATTTATATATATCTTTTATATATGGGTTGTATCTCTGATCAACACATTGGAGTGAAATAGATTTTTGGTTTTGTAGTTGTTGTTCTTTTTTTATGGCAAACGAAAATTTTAACATTTTCCCTTTTTAAAATGAGCAAAAAATGTGAAGACAAAATGTTTTTTGATTAATTGTGAATAAGCATTCATTATGCATCTGCAGTACCCTCATGTCCCATTAGGTGGACTCATCATCAGTCATTTCAGTTACTATCAGAACACCAATTGAACAAAGAAGCAGGTTTTGCAGACATTGCAGAGGGAGTTCAGGATGCAGAAGAGGTAGAGGCCAGGAGTAGTCAGATAGCCAAAAGAGAAGAAGACCAGGCCCCCCAGGCAAGGCAGAGCAAAGTGATGACTCCCAGCAGGGTACACAGGTCTTTTCTGGCTCTGTCAAGGTCGACCTGTCCAAACTGATTTATCAAATATACAGTGACACAGGAGATTACAGAACATCTGAAACTGGTAGAAGGAGACTTTGAAAAGTGATTTTAAATTCAGAGACAACATTCTTGCCAAATGAGGGAAATCACATTTCTTATTTGGTTTGTTTAACAGTGTTTAACATATTCAGACCACACCCAGTGCAGGGTTTATGCTACAGCTGGTCTAAATTAACAGAACTGGTAATTACCAAAATCTTTTTTTTTATTTCTATAGTGTTTAATCCACTATTAAGCCAGGTGGATGCAAGCTTTTTGATTGAAGCTATATTTTAATGCTATGATATAATTATTGTTGTTTCTACTCTATCCGAGTACTCAAAGTGCTTTATACAACATTCCTCGTTCATTCACACTCATTCATGCAGGCACTTTTTTTGTATGCTAAATGCTTTCTACCCAACATCCACACACATTCACACTCTGATGGATGCATTGCAGAGCAACTTGGGGTTCAGTATCTTGCCCAAGGATTTTTGACATCCAGACTTGAGCAGCCACCAACCACCAACCTTCTGATTTGAAGACTGACCTGTTTTACCTCCTGAGCTACAGCCACCACTATTTCTTTAATCAAAATAATATTTTTAATGTTAAAATTAAATTATTGTTGAATGTTCTAATTTACCATTTTTACAAAAATTCAGAAAAAATAGTAAAACTTATAATTATAATTACTATCCATTAATTTTCTTACTGTTTCACAAAAAAGCTGTAAAACAAATGGATTTTTGTTTTTTATTAAAATGTCAAATCACACATATTTACCTACATTCTTGAACATTCTTCCTGCCTGATTAGGCAGGAAGTGCAGGTTGAGGAGCACCAGAGCAATTAAAAGGTTGATGTGGACTTTCACAGAAACATCTTGTCTGAGTTTCCTGTCAGGTGATGTCATTGTTTGAAGAACATTAGGCCAATCATCAAGTAAGGAAAGAAAGCCTAGATGACAGTATTAAAGATGAAGGCATTATATTTTCTGCAAAAAGAAGAGGAAAATAGCAGAAGAGCACTCCTGCATTGCCTTTTAGTAATGAATTGAAGGAGAGAAAGACAAAGGCATTAGAAAAGAGCAGTAAAAAAGTCTGAAGAGTTGTTGGGAGCAAGGACAACATGGTAAGTGGACAGTATTTATCTTGGAAATAAATCATTGAAAGACGAGTAATTTAACTATTTGTAATGAAGAGCAAAAGGGTGACAGCCAGAGCAAAAAGCGAAAGACTGCAGCCAATCAGAGTAATGTCTGTTAATATCTTCAGGTCGTTTTCTGAGAGGGAAGCACTCACCTGTAGAGAAAATACACATTCACAATGACTTGTAGCACTTATATTGTCATGCCATACTTATCTGATATGTTTATATATTTCGAATCGAAATTGTGTCCTATATAAAGGGTGAATAAATCTTCACAATGGTGTTACATTAGTTTAAAACCCACAGGTTCTAATTTATGGTTTGTTTTTCATTACTAACTGTAATCTTTAAAAACTACAAATACAAATTTTCTATACCCTTTATATACTTATTTATTACATAAGTATATCTTATTCATTTAACCAGACATTGAGAATATATTTTTATTTACAGTGGTGACCTTTGATAAAGGTGCAAAGGTTAGTGGAGAGGAGAAGGATGAATGATTATCTAATCAAATCCCAAAATATTTATATTCAGTGATCTTGACTATTGAATTTTTAAACACAGATTTGCTACTTAAGTTCTAATATATCCCTAATAATAACAACGGTGCAGTATAATAATTAATCTTTCTTCTACTGATATTCCTCTTCCCACCTCTGAGCATACCTCCTGTCTCCAAGGAATAATTCCACCTCTCCGGGCTCTCTTCCACATTTCCACTTCTTTCGTTCATTAAAATATTTCCATCTCTATCCTTAACGACCTTAATCTGCTGTACATCTTCTCCAGCTTAATCACTCTGCCTGTGACCAGTGTCCAGCCTCACATACAACCCACTATAAGCCTTTTTCCTCCTCTGTCTGCCATTCACAGATAGTTCACAGGACTGTAAGAAGCAAAATGAAGGCACCTTCCTCCCAACCAGCACTCCTCCCTGTCCAGGATGTATACATTGTTAGGAACAAAATGATTAAATAAAAGTCTTTATTTTTTATTTTATTTTTTTACGTACACTTTTCAATTGTGCTCATTAAAGAGTGGCACTTTATGTAAAAAGGGTCAAAAGCATCAATTCAGCACTATGATTGAATTGAATTATTGAGACTGACATGTTGGGGGCAGAGGAATTTGAAAACATGCTTACACATCATAATTGGTTATTAAGTCAGGGGGACAATTTTTCTGGGCCAAGTGAGTCTGAACAGAATGTCTCAGATGTGGATAATTAGTCGAATCAATACACTGTGAATTGTTAGCTAATAATACAGAAAGGTTAGGGAGCGAGGTGTTTTTCTTTCTCTCTTTTCTTTCTCTCTTTTTTTTTTCAAAAAGAAAAATTCTGCCATTTGTTTAAAATTCATCAAGAAATGGCAGTATCAGAAGGCTGGACAGCCACTACGGACTCACATATAAAAGTATATTAGAAAACTGTTTAGATACAGAGAGAATGAAAATATTGGCATGATATCAAAAGTAGGTAAAAAAATAAAAAAAATGTCATAATTAATTTCGGTCACGATATTGGTGATGTGACTCTTGGGACTGCACCCAAAATGTACCTTTTGAAGGGTTCTCCAATAAATTATCTTAAAGTTCAAATAGCGTACATATTTGTTTGTTTATATTAACTAATGGTATTACAGGCATTAAAATGGTGCAGTTTTTATACTAAAACTGTGATACATCCCATGTTGATGCTCAAAGTTGTTTAGACAAAAAGGATGTGAGGGAATGAAACAAGATTTTGGCTTTAGATGGCTACAACTCTAAATTTTACTAGTTTATGAAAGGAAACTTCTGTCTGGCTACATTACATTACAAACGTATTCTACAAATAAATAAAAATCAGCTGATTTTAAGGAATCAAGTTGGAACTGTTTTTAGATCTGATAGATTTAATGTTACTTCTGGTTTAGTAATAAACTAAAACAGAATAGTTTTCCTAACAGCAAAACAAGCATTATGCTTTTAATATTGGGAACACAGTTATACAAGAATATATGTTCAGATACAAACTTATAATGTACATATATATATAAGATAAGACTTTATTGATCCCACGGTGGCAAAATTTTTGCTTTATCAGGTACAGATAGCTGAAGGAAAATATAAAAAATACAAATAAAATATAAAAAAATATAAAATGAGTAAGATAATACACTATATACAATGGTAGCATACACAGAATGTGACTATGGATATGGTTGTTGGAAATATGGGAGACATAAATTATAAACCATATAGTTATAAGCTATATAGAAAAGCTTACAATGCAAAGGGAACACATCCTCTAAGTTGCTCTTAGGAGAGATTAATTCCTCACCACAAAGATTTTAGGTATTTCATCAATAAAGTTTCAAACATAACATTAATATTCACTCTCGCGCACCTGCCTTGTATAAATAAACTGTTGTATGTGGTGTTGTATAAATAAACATCATGATTTAAAGAGGACATAATCATGTTGTCACTGTATTACAATATGAATTATACCGACACACACAGACTCTTATTAAGTTGTTGCTACTAGTGTTTAAACTAGCCGTTAGTGCTGCGTGTTTCACTGCTCATCTTAGTAGTCGAGGTTTTAGCCTTTCTCAGTGACATCACAAACCAAAGGAAGATGAAGAAACCTGCAGTCACAAAGAAGAGAGAGAGAGAGAGAGAGATGTACAGGTTCAGATGGGAAATGGATGAGTTCATGAAATCATGCATCTGTGTCAAATTTAACTCTAGTGAGATTTCCTTTTTAATGTTATGTAAAATGTAATAAAAAAATCTTATACTACTGTTTCCTCTTAAATGGTAACTATAATGAAAATGGATTTTTGTATTAAGCAGCAGAGTTGAGTATGTGTGTCCACCCATAAAAAAACACCAAACAAAGTGGGCATCCAAAGAAGAGGACACCACAAAAGGACTGTTTCCTCTCCCTGTCAGCACTTGGGACCCGCAGGCAGCCTTCCACCAGTGTTGGGACTAACTCGTTATTAAGTAACGCGTTACAGTAACTACGTTATTATTGTGGTAACGAGCGAGTAACTAGTTATTATGCCAAAACCGGGAACGCGTTACTCGTTACTGGGATTTAGATAGGCTCGTTATTCGTTACTTCGTGTGGTGGCTATCGCGGAGCTTCCACAGATTCAATAACATTAGCAAGTGGTGGAGGCCAGCAGGTGGATGAAAGAAAAGGGAGGCAAGAGGAGAGACACCTGATACTCTCGGCCGCTGGTCCGAGAGTATCAGGTGAACTGAACTTCAGGTAAGAAGTTATAACCTGCAGTCTCTCTGGGTCAGATATGAACCAAGTTTATGTGGAGTTTATTTTCGTTATGCTGACTTTTTCGTACTGCGTGCTAGCTAGCATGACAGAGTTTCTATACAGCTGGGTGGTGCTATGTTACTGATGTTGAACTTTATTTTGTTCATAAGGTTAATTATTAGAGTTGCCAACCGTCCAGTAAAAAACAGAATCGTCTCGTATTCAAAGAAAATATCATGCGTTTCGTATTGAGGTGAAAAGAAACACAGTTTGTCCCGGACTTCAGCTACAATGAAAAAGACACAAAGCTGGAGTTATTCTGTGTTTACGCTGCACAGCTGCCTCTTCTTCTCTCATCCTCTCACCCTCCCCTACTTCAGTCATGAAACTGATCAGTGATCAGCTGATCGGCTTTTCTCTCGTTTGTTTATCGCCCACTTTGCGCCAGAAAGAGGAAACCAGCGGATTTCGCGCTAAACAACAGCAGCACGTTTAAGCTTGATCAGCTGTTGTTAGAATTTATTTAATATTAATTTCTAGTATCAGTTGATGTTTGCTGGAGCCTCAGCTGTAAACCTGCTGGTCATGATGTCGGTTTGGTTATGTGGTGAGAGGGAAACATGAAGATGAAACCAGGAGATGTCCTTACTGAATCATCAGAGCTGTGATGGAGAAACAGGTTTACCTTTTAGGTGACATGAATGAGTTGAAGGGAAGTTATGAACTGTTTCTGAGAGACAAATAACACCAAGATCCTTTTCTAAGTAGCTGACAGCTGGTAACTGTGCAGGGTCTAGCAAAGTGTTGCCAGGGATCCATGTAGGGCATTAAAAGGGAAAGGGGGCACAAAGAAATACTTTTCTTTCTTATTCCCATTTAAAATGTCTCGCTTTTAAAAAATAATTATCTGAATCTTACAACAAACGATTGATAAATTGATACATATATACCATCAGAACAGTGTACATCACTGTCACAACAGTGTTTGTTTTCATTCAAAGGCTTTATGATTTTTCCTATAATGGTGGGCCGGTCTCTAGTCAAAATGCCCGGGATGATTTTTTTGTCCCAGTCCAGCCCTGTATGCAGCTCATCTGCAGTCTGGTGTTACCTACATCTTCCTATTCAGAAGGCAGCATTTCCGAGTTCTGAGTACAATCGAAAGCACCACGACTGCGGTTTTTGTGTTGGATGTAAAAAGCAGGCTAGGATAGAATCAGGCGTGGGATTTCTCTCGTGGAAATGTGCACATTATTGTTTTCCTTTCTGTTGGTAGGTGGCACAGTGCACTTGTGGCAAGTAAGCAAGCTAGAAGACTGGCAATCTTGCTGGGTATCCAGTTACGGAAGCGACACATTAACAAGAGAATTCTGAGTAAAACCAAAGTTACTTTCCCTAGTAACTAGTTACTCTGAAAGTAACGAGTAACTTGAAGTAACTGAGTTACTTTTGATAGAAGTAACTAGTAATGTAACTAAGTTACTAATTTAAAGTAACTTACCCAACACTGCCTTCCACAGATTTGAAGTCAAGGTTTGCAGGACAATATGGCTGACAAAACTCTACCCAGGCAATCCTGAATAGGCTGCAAACAGTCAATCTCCAGTCTCACAGGGCTTAACATGACTGAACTTCACAGTCAGGCCTGTTTAAGCTGGAGTCAGCAACATCTGCAATGGATCCTGAACATTATGTTCAGCAATGTCTCCTGATTCTGCCTAAGGCATGGCGTGGAGCAAACACAGAGCATGATGTGCTGATTGCTGCACCATGGGTGACAACGTTTGGTGGAATCAGTGTGATGCTGTGAGGCAGCAGCTCCCTTACTAGAAAAGCAAGCCTTGTCATCAGTTTCATCCGTGTCAAGGAACAGAGATATTGACATGAGATATTGAGTCTCGGCCATAACCCACATACTCAACTGTGTGTGTGTGTGTGTGTGTGTGTGTGTGTGTGTGTGTGTGTGTGTGTGTGTGTGTGTGTGTGTGTGTGTGTGTGTGTGTGAGAGTTTACAGACCTTGCAGGGAGTTCAAGATGCAGAAGAGGTAGAGGGCAGGAGTGGTCAGGGGACTGAATGAAAAAAGGACCAGGCCCCAGGTAATACCGAGCAGAGTCATGACTCCAGCCAGGGAGCAAATGTCTTTCTTGAATTTGTCAAGGTTATTCTGCCCAAACTGATTTGCCAAATATAGAATAGAAGCAGGTTACAGACAGTTTTAAATTTGACTTGAGACCTTAAATTGTCATTTAAAAAAACAACAAACACTTCATTGCTAGTTTATAGTTTCCAATGAATACACTGATGGATTACTACTCATATATTATTTTTAAGACTAGATAATTACCTCTCTGGTGTGGTGGAGAATAAAAACTTGTCTGACTGTCACCCCAAACATGATTACATTAAAGAGGAACACCAAGCTGAACAATCCCACTGTAGTCCACTTTACCTTGTCATTGGTTATATAACATCTAAAAAGAAAGAACAGATCATGTTTTAACCTCCAAAATTGAAAAATCAATGATGCGTTCTGTAAAAGAAACATTAATGCAGGTAGTGCAGTAAAAGCATCACCAGAGCTAAAAAGGAATTAATGTTTCAATTTTAGCAAATTAGATGCTTGGTGAAAAGGAGCTTTCTGCTTCTCCAACATGCATGTTTACAGAAACTCTGATTGGCAAAACAGTTAATAAGTAAATGTGAAAATGTGAATCATTATTCTTGATTTTACATGCTGGCAAATCTTACATTGCAGTACTGGAGGAGTTAGATGCGTCCAGAGGGGTAAGGCCATAAAACGTTCTGTCTATGATCACCACCACTGACACAATCATGGCAGGGACACCTTGATCAAAATTAATTAATTAATATCTACATCCACATTGATAATGACAGCTCCCTCCCTAATTGATTCCACTCACCCCATCCCACCACGCCGAGTTTGAGCAGGTATTTCTTGACATAGATGTTGAAGACTTTGACTAAGAGAAGATATAAGTGGAAACCTTCCAAGGCCATCCAGCTGAAAGTGGCTAGCAGAGAATAATGAAGTAAAAGAGCCATGTATAAGCAAAGTCCAGAGGAAGACCCTGCTGCCACTGCCTGACTGGGCAGGAAGTGCAGGTTGAGGAGCATCAGGGCAATTACAAGGTTGATGTGGACCTTCATAGAGACATCTTGTCTGAGTTTTCTGTCACACAGAGAATTGATCTGTGTTAAGTAACATACTGTATCACAACTGGAGGAATGGTAGACCATAACAAGAGAAGAAAGAAATGATGAAGAGTTATTTATAGAGTAAGAATAGCATTTGATGTAAGAAGATCAGTGAATGCCAGTGAATGGAGGAAGATTTCAGTATGTTTTAAGGCAACTGAAAGATAAAAACAGGCTACTCATATGTCAAAGGTATGAGGATGTTTGAGAAAAGGGGACAACAGCAGAGGCAAATCAGATTACAGGAGGTACTAAAAGTGTGAAAGAGGAAGGACTGATGAAGATGGGAAGAATATGAAAAAATGAATTTATTACCTGTTTGTAATAAAGAGCAAAATGGCTATGACCAAAGTAAAAAGGGAAATACTACAGCCAATCACAGTAATGTGTGTTAAAATCTCTTGGTCTTTCTTTGTGATGGAAGGATCAGGTATCTGTGGAGAAAACACATGTTTATATCATCTTGTACTATTTGTATTATAACAATTAGTCAGAAGCCTTTTCACCTTCTGCTCGATGACAGGTCAACAGACCAACAGGTACAACATGTTGGAAGCAAATACTTGTCTTACTTATTATTTTTTTACACTGCAAATGTAACTTTATTTAACCTGCTAGGTTATTAAGTATGCTTTCTTATTTCTGATGGTACAAGTCCCTTGAAGAAAATGGGGGCAGGGCTAAAAAGAAAGTTAAAAGAACAGCTGAATAAATCTGAAAAATAAAATAAAGCATTAACTAAATATGTTTTATACAATCATAACAAGCATAACATAACAACAGACAATAACATGCAATGAAATACACAGAATTAAGGTAGGCAAAGTGTAGGTAATCAAGCACGAGCAACCAATACAACATAGCTGCAATACAGGAAAGGCATACAATAACCGACAGCACTGTTACAGTTTGGCACTGTTTTCAAGGATGGCAGGATAGTAATTTGAATGAAAACAAGTTGAGCAGAGCAGGTGAAGGTAGAATTCTGTACAAGAAATCTTTTTATTTTGGTGTCTTCTAGTGGCACCATCAAGAATGACACCAAACTGAAAAGAAGGAAAAGAAGAAAATGCACAACAAATGTATCTACAATTATAACAAATTATATTTGTTATTTTATTTGTATGCATAATTTTGACACTCAGTGAATGTGTAGGTTAAACGGTGTATTTATTATATAGAAGAGCCGTAACATGGCAAAAATGTTGTTTTTCCTTTGCATGCAGAGAGCAAAGTGAACCGTCCTTGTTTGCGCGCACAAACTTGGCCAAATAAATGATTCTAAATGATAAATGATTCTGATAGATACATAGATATTCACTACTCCCTCCAGAAAAATTAAAAATACATTAAACTGCAGATTACTGAGGAATCAAATGTGATTTTATGAAAGGAGAAAGATTCAAAAGGCTGTATACCAAACCCACATGCATGTGCCATCGGAGCGCGTCAAGCACTTAAAAAACAAAATAAAAAAAAAGAAACACTATGGAAGCAGAATTTAATGGATCATATGACTAATGAAATAAGTAAAGTAAAGTTCTGGCTGGATAAAAACAAATTATCATTAAATTTGAATAAAACTAAAATTATATTATTTGGAAATAGTACTGGTGTTGATATTGAAAGAGTCGGTGAAAATTGATTACTGGGGAAAATAATGGATGAAAAACTTAAAAAACATTACATTCACTTTGTACTCTTCAAAAAAGAGTAGTTCGAATCATCCACAATGCAGCTTAGGGAGATCATACAAACTCACTATTTTTGCAATAATATTCAGAGTATGTTTTTTTGGAAAGAAGTTATAATTTAAGGGGTTTTTGTAACTTCAATATAGGAAAGGTATGTACTGCAAGAAAAAGCTTTTTGTTTCTGTGCATGGAGTGAAACTGTAGAACAGTTTGAATATGGAATTAAAGCAATGACCAAAGATAAAACAGTTCAAAAAGAGTTATAAAGAAATGATCTTCTTGAACTATAAAGAAAGGGAAAATGTTGAAATTAAGTGAATGTCTCTATTTAGACGTTTTTTTTAGAAAAGAGATTTGTTAACATATAAAAGATGCTTTTTCTTTTTTCCTACTTTAGTTGTACTAATTCAATGAATGCAAAGTAACCTGTGTATTAGTTACTATAACTATTACTTCTAAAGACCTCACATGCAAGCAGTCAGTTACTCTGTGTCCGCACGTGTGTGTGTGTGTGTGTGTGTGTGTGTGTGTGTGTGTGGTAGCGTGCACGGCTACCAAATGCAGCTGTGCAATTTTGTGGTTTGTGGTCTCAACCTTTCATCACCATTTCTAAATGGTGATGAGAGGTTAAAGGATACTGAAGATCTAAATAAGATATTGTAAAAAGTTATCTTTCTGAGAAGCTGTGTGACTTTTAAACCCATTGGTATGACTAAACTTTGCAGTTTATTTTTAGCTTGCGGTCTCTTTCCTAACACCACTTGAAAAGCCTGTTTGAAGGCAGAATTAAGGTAAAGTGAGTAATGGTCTGGCATGTCCTTGTGAAGCTGCAAAGTTTGAGGCAGTTCAGATAAGTGTTTGTTGATAGAAGTGAAGAACAATGGACAAACAATGGCCTCTTTAAATGAGCCCAGTCTTACTATGAGGATACCAAAGTATGTGAGGTGGTTGCAGGAACAGGTGATGTTATTCTGATGATGTGTCCAGTGTGTGACGCAGCCATCCTCACTAAAAGCTGGTAAGCAAACCAAACAGATCCATTACGCAAAAGATCACATTTCTGAACATCAGCTCAGTTAGGTGGCCATGAGTGAAAACACAAACCACAATGAGTCTAACTTGTGAAAATATTGTTGCGCTATACTGCTCAAAAAAGATTAAAGGAACACTTTGGAAACATTAGATTTTCAGGGGGGAATAAATTGTGATGGATATCTATAATCAAGTGGAATGGGTAATGTGTCCCATAAGATTAACTGACTTGTTGCTGTACTCTGATTAAAAGGTGTTCCGTTATTTAATGTTTGAGCAGTGTACATTACTGTTCATGACAGATGTGATACTTACTGTATGTTGAATAATTAAAGAACTGACACGAGGGTTTTTGAGTTTCCTATGACACAAACATATTTCATGTTTGTACAAAACGTACAGAATATTATATGTGTCAACTAATAGTGCAATTAAATTACAGGAGGTAAGACTGAAATAAATGTTCAAAAAAGCATAGTTACGTCGATTTCCTTGGTAAACTCCATCGTGATGTTGATGCGCTCCTGCAGTCCTGATATCTCCTTGTTCTGCACACTCAGACCAACCAGTCTTTGATCATATACTTCATGTGGGCTTTCAAAAACGCTCTACAATAAAATGCAAATTTGTCAGCTGGTTTAACAGTTTTGCAAAGACAGTTTTAATATTATTTTCTGAATCTTCTGTGTTAAATGGAAAAACACTACTAAGTGATCTACTTACACTGTTTGATATGCAAGTCATTTACATTTTGTTAGAAAAAAAGGTGACTTAAAAAAAAAAAAAAAGAAAAAAAGAAAAAAAGGTGATGATTCTTTCCTGATGTACCCAACTTCCTTCAAAAATATGTGTACTAATTTTACATTTCATGTGTTAATAAAATAATGTCACTATGCTAAAGAGTACAAATTCCCCGCTGGACAAATAATTCAAGCATCCAGCAAATTCAGAAGCTTCAAATTCAGGGTTTAATTTTATTGGCTGTTAGGTGTAGCTGGTGAAAGTAAGCTTGATAGGCTTGTTAAGCTGGGATTTTAAAATCTGATTGTTTTTTCTGTATGCCATGTGTATACATCCCTCCTTTGTTAAGGACATGTAAATTTGATTAAAACACCTTTATAATGATGTGAAAATAAACAGGAGTACATTTCCTAACAAGTGGTAAACAAAAGAAATATATAACCTGACAAAGAAAAAGAAAAAAACCCAAATGTTATTTTATTAGACTAAAACAAGCAAAACCCACAAGCTCCATGAGCAGTAGTTTAAATTTAATGTGTAAATACAAAGATCGTATTATTCTATAGCTCACCACATCCTTTTTCTACATGTTTTTAAATAAGAAGTGTAGTTTATGACCTTATTTGTTTGAGGCCATTTAAACATGCAGAACACAAACGTGTTATTCGGTCCAGCACCCAGTTCTCTTGGCAGCTGGACAATGACTTTACTGTTGAGAAGAGGCA